AAATAACAACAAAGATTGACGAAAAAGTTTCCCGCAAAAAAAATGATGATCAATCATAAAACGAATGGAAAGCTTCACTCATTTATAATTCAGGGACATTCAAAAAAATCATAATTATTCATTGAAAAAAATAATAATAATGATGAATATTCATCATTTGATCAATTAATTAACTTAATTTAATTAATTTAATTTAATTATTCAAATAAAAGGATTGGCTTTATTGGAAACAAATGAATTATCATTATAATCAATATGGAAATTGTATATCGGTTTGTTTGTTTGAAATTTGAAAAAGAAAAAACAAACCAATATAGAAACAACGTATCAAAAAATCCATCGTTTTTCCACAAAATCCACACTATTATTATTATTATTACTTAACATCAATATGTTATATATGCAAATGAATGATGAAATGTAATAAAAATGATGATGATGATTTTGATGATGAAAATTGATGCGGCCCTTTTTTCCCCTATCTATCTATATCTATCTATCGAGCTTGTTTGTTCATTCATCATATGAGAAATGAATGATTAACTAACAAGAAACAACAAATCTCCTTTTGAACATATCCATTGGTCCAAACGATGATGATGGCCATGTTTGATTTGATTTTTTGTTTTTTCTTCAACGTATTGATGTCAAAACAGAAAAACATCGTGCATTGAAATCTCCCTTACATCCAGAAGAAAAAAAACGATTTCATTTTGGCTAATTTTTCTTTTCACTTGATTTTTTCTGTTACATGATTTAAGTCTGAAAGTCGAATAGATTGAAATGTAACGAAATTGAAATGCGACGAAACGAAATACATTACCCGTGATAACGAATAAGGAGTGAGAGTGAGAAAAGAGAAAAGTGAAAAACAACAACAACAAATGTATCCTTCCTGGATAAATCAGTTTGTTGTTGCTGCTTGGATAATCATCAACATGATGGTGATATCCATATTGAACATCGATCGATCGATCGATCGATTGATTTTTGATTTTAAATAATTTATTTCGATACAAAAAAAAACAGAAAAATTTCATAAATTTTGGGTGCGAAAAACAAACGAAAACTTTTTTTTATTGAAAAATCCGAATATCGGTAATAATAATATTATTATTAGCTTATAAACTTATCAGCTTTATCCGAAAACAAAATCAATCAATCAATCAATCAATCGATCGATAAATCGAATTGAATCAATAATCAATTTTGTTTGGATTCGATTAATTCACAAGCTTATTAATTAATAAAAACCATTCGTTTCTCTTTCTTCATCTATCTACCTCTCTCTCTCATTGAATTTCTTCTTCGTTATCATCCTTATATTACTTTATACAACAACAAGAACGAAGAAACAGAAAAAATATCCGATTAATTTGATGATCCTCTTCGTCTTCAGTTGTTGTCGATCGAAACAAATCGATTATTATTATGATGATGATTATGATTATGGGAACATCCAACCAACCAACAAAACAAAACAAAAAACAAATTCAGCAACGAAAAAAGATAATGCACGAAACAGAAACAGAGAAAAAAAAATTAACATTATTATTATCATCGTTGTTGTTGTAAGAGGCAAAGTAATAATTTTTTCGTTGTTTTGCTTTTCTCTATATCCCGGTAAATCAAAAATTGATCCTAAAACGAAATTGATTGCAAAGAAAAAAATCGATCCGGATCGATTCAAATTCAAATTTATCCGTTGCTGTTGATGTTCGATTTCTTTTTCCCCGCACAACATTCAAGTAATAATTTATTCAAATAGAAAAACGAAAAAATTAATAAAAATAACTGGAAAAAAAAGTTTTCGTATCGATCTGCCAAGCAAAAATATTGAATAATGGAAAAAAGGTTTTTCTCCTTTCACTGACTTTTAATCTTTCTTTTTCTTTCATTTCTTCTTCCCGAAATCATAAAACAAAACAAAAATTAATTTTCTGTGAAATTCACGAAAAAGACAAATCACGAATCAGGATGATGATGATGATGATTGACAAATTGTGAAATTGAAATGAGAAATTTTGTCAATCATCATCATCAGCATTTGCATCCTGCAAAGAAAATCATCAATGATGAACAATGATGGTTGGATAATAAAAACAAAAACAGAAACAGAAAAAAAAGAAGAAATTTCAATTGAATTTTACAAAATAATGTCATAAGAGAATCATCATGGAACAAATTGAATAAAACAATCAAAACGCAAAACGCGTGTCCGAATTTGGATAAAGAAATGACCTGTGTCCATAAGTGACAAGTTTTCATCTTTGATTTTTGAAATGAAAAGCTTTTTTTCAACCACATTTTCAATAGAATCAATCAATCAATATTGAATTTTTCTTTAATCTTTTCAAACAAAAAATCCTCGAAAAAAAAAATTATCCGGGATTGAAACGAAGAAGAAGAAAAACGAAAATGTTTTTCGTTTTTTTAAATGATGAAAAATGATCCATAATTCATGAATGTAAACGAAGAAGATTTTCCAAATTTCATTTTTATTTATGTAAAGGATTTTTTTATTTCATTTTTTTCTGCTAAACTGCATGATGAAAATTTCATAATAATCATCACGATCATCATGACAGGAAGCTAAAATCATACAGTGTATAACCACCACCATCATCATCGTGAAAATCAAACACCACGAACAAGTTTTTTGATAGACCAAAGGAAAACAAAAAAACATTTTGAAATTCTGAATATCAACCAGAAACAAAACGAAACAAAAACAAAAAACCAGTGTGAACGACATTCTATTATGATTTGATTTTATTGATGGTGGTAGTGAATGATGGGTTAAAAGAATGTAAAAGTTGTATAAAAAAATATACCGTACCTTTTTTTTAATTCGTTGTGGAAAAATTTCTTTTAAATTAACACGAAAAAAATTCAATGATGACATTGAAATTTATTCTACAAACAAACAAACCACACATATGAAAACACGAACAAAAAACTGTGTGAAGATCATAGGGGAAAAAAACCCACAAAAGATCCATGTGGTTATTCTTTTTTTCTTTTTTGTCAGCAAACAAACATGATAAACATGATGATTATCCCATATGATTTGAACAAATAATTTTCATTCATTTTTTACCCGAAAAAACAAGTGATAAGTAGCGGTTGTTGTTGTTGTCACTTTTGTTGTTGTTGTCGATCTGAATGAAAATGTTGTTGATTTTGTTGTTGTTATTATGAAAATTTTGGATTTTCTTTTTGGCTTGTTAAATCCAAAAAATCAAATTAATAATTGGAAGAATAGTGGTAGCAGCAGTAGTTTGAAAATGAGAAAATAAGAAAGTTGATCAACAACCAACAACAACGATTGAAATGAAATGAAATGAATGAATCTTATGTGTGTGCGATTTCAAAGAAATAAGGCATTTTTTCTTTTTGCATGCTAAAGATGTTGTCGATGTTTAGCGAATGAAAAGAAGAAAAAAAAACTGTTGCATTGTTGGATGCGGCTGAAAAAACAAAAATCTGATGATGTGATGTGATGTGTTTGCTGTTTCTTGATCGAATGATCGAATGAATGAATGAATGAATGAAAAGTTAGCTAAAGAGAGAGAGAAAAAGAAAGAAGAAGTAAAAGATAGTGAAAGAATGAATGAATGAATGAATACAGGCAAGCAAGCAAGCAAAAGAAAAACAGGAATGTTAAAAGATGTTTAAGATGCTAGTTGTAGATTAAAATTATGATGGACCCTGAACAAAATTCAATCTCGGGGGGGAAGAAGATGGAGGGGAAATTTTTCTTCTTTTTTTTGTAGAAGGAAAAAAATGACGAACGAAAGAAGGAAAGATGAAGAGAACAACAAACATAAAGATGAAAAGAAAAATTCATAAAGATTATGTAATCTTGATTTGTTCATACACACACACATCGTACACCGAAAGGAAATGAAGATGGAGAGAGAGGAAAAAACAACATTTGAAAATAAGGAAATTTCAAAACAAGAAGAAACGAATAGCCAACGGCAGCTACTGTGAATGAAATTAAAAAATTTTTTTTGATTTTTTGATTTTTTTATCGATAAAACAAAAAACTTATTGATCAAAAATCAATGATATTTTGAATTTTCATTTTTCAAATTTTTCATGTAAAAACGCGCGCTCGCTTGTTTTGATATTGATATATGGTACATTTGGCTAGCAAGCCAGCCAAATGACTGAATTTTTTTGTTTTGTTTGTTGCCTGTACATTTTTGTCTGTTTATTTGGTTTTTCGGGAATTTTTTTTTTTTGGAATTCTCAAGATACCGTTATATAACAACAAACATGGTGGAACCTCAAACACTGAAAAAAACATGGTTATTTTTTTTCTTCTTCATCAATTCCGATTTGGAACAGAACATTTTTTTTTTGGATAAACAATGCACGCATGTCTGTTATCATAATGCTATATATAACGTAAGGTTAAATATCAGGTGAAATATTTGAAACAACTATATATAGTTCAATCAGGTTAGGTTGAATGTCTATGGAAGTAAAAATAATTTTTACCTGAAAAATAAAAAATTTCCAATCATAGAGTTTGCCATCTATCGAATGAAATTCGTATTATTTGCTTTGTTTGGAGTTTGCTCTGTTTTGTTTTGTTTTGTTTTGTTTTTGTTTTTTTTGGTGTTCGATTTTGGTTTTTTGTTTTGTTTTGTTTTGATGATGGTCTGGACAATTTTCCTGATCCATTTTACTGGACTAAAGATTATTATTTTGAATGCGGCGATAGTGGTATCGGGAGCTTACTAATTACGATAATTTTAAAAATTTTAAATTCAATTTTACCGACATTTTTTATCTTTGATATTTACAATCTTTTTTTTTTCGTTTTATTCAAATCCAAATGCAATATTGACAAATCATTTATTTAATAATTATCGAAAAATAATGTAACGAAGAATACTCATTCAATAAAATTACAAAATGTTTTAATATGGTTACGAAAAGAAATAGTACAAAATTCTACCGAAAAAATAATAATACTCGACAAACAAAATTTAACTAAACAAAATTTACTCAAAAATTCCTGAATTCTTCTGTTTTTTGTTTCTGGTGCAATATCAGTCAATTTTTTTCAAAAAGAATGAATAAATCACAAAATAATTCCACCACTATCGCCGTTGCTGATATTGAAACAAAACCAATTAGGTATGAATGATTCTTTTCATTGATAATTTGATTTTGATTTTTGTTTTGTTTTTTTGCTTGAAAGTCCATCAAAACGATTTCGTCATTTACAAAAAGATCATGTTATATCGAATAAACAAAATAAACGAACTAATTATCGTCATTTATTTGGTTGTGATACAGATTTTCATTCAAATTTGAATAATGAAAATAATTGTTCATCATCATCATCATCATTATCGAATCAGATGAAAATTTTGGATAAAACATTAATCAAATGTATTGGTAAAAAACATACAAAATGGTTATGTCAAAATTGTCAATTTCAACAAAATTTATCAACATATTCTGAATGTGCAAATTGTGGACAACAAAAATCTATTAAAAATAAATCAAATAAATTTGATAATGATCGAAATTCATCAATACATCAATCATCATCAAGAAATCATCAATTTGATTGTTTGGATAAACGTTCACATGGTCATGCTAATGTACCGGTTATTAATCATAATAAAAAATGGCGTATACTATTTCGATTATTATCGGATGATTTAAATTTTCCACCATCATCATCATCAACAACAACAACAACAACAACCAGTACATTAAGTAATTTTGCAAGTATACTTGTAGATATGGCTAAATCAACTACAGCTAAAAATTGGAAACGAAATTTGGATTTAAGTTCTAGCCATTATTATTATTCGAATCATAATGATGATGATAAAAATCTTAAGACTGATCAAAATAATAATAATGAAAAACCTGAATATTATTATAGTCAAACTGATCTATATACATATTTACAAACAACATTAGGCTGTGATGTTAGTGGTGGTGGTGGTGGTGGTGGTGGTAATAAACGTTTGATAAAAATACGACATACTAATAATAATAATAATAATATAGATAAATATCGTAATTGGAAATGTAAAATATGTCATTATCAATATAATGTAAAAACATCTTATTATTGTTATATTTGTCATACGGAACATAATGGTTTAGAAAAACAATCAGCAACTAAACAATTATTAAGACAAATGGTTAAAAATTCAAAATTTTGGGCCCGGATTAATATTGAATCTTCACCAATGACCAATGTTGATCAAAATGAACAACCATCAATAACTTTAGATTATTTACATCATAACGATAATAATAATATAGTTTCAAAAAGTAGTACATTATGTTATAATATTAATCGTAGCCAAGAAGAAGAAAAAGATGATTTTGAAAATAACAATAGTGATTCCGATGAATCAAATAAGAATTTTGATCACTATAATGATGATAATCATGAAGATGATAATGAAAATGATTCATCATCAATATCATCATCCACATCATCAACATCAACAATTTCATCATTCATTTCGGAATCAACATCAGCAAATAATCTATATGTTTGTATGAATAATTTTAAAATTCAAGAACAAAATGATAATGTTGGTAATCAACAAACAACATGGCAATGTATTAAATGTACATTGATCAATAATGATGAACAACAATTTTGTTCAGTATGTGGTGGTTCAAGATTAAATAGTGTTGAATCGGAATCTAAAACGGATAAAACGAATGTTATCAATCCTTTGGCTACCTATAATAAATTTGTAACAACAACTATAAATCAACAACAACAACAACAACAATGGACATGTATCAAATGTACATTACGTAATTCTATTGATAATGATTCGATATGTGCTGCATGTGGTTATCCACAATCATCATCATCATCATCTATACAAAATCCTTGTTCATCACAATCATCACAAACAACACGTAGACGTGATCTAACACGTCGTAATCGATCACATTGGGAATGTTCCGCATGTACATATCTAAATTCATCGGATAGATTTTCTTGTGAAATTTGTCATCAAGGTAGATGTGTTTTAACATTAAAACCTATAAATCTATCAACATCATCTACGACAACAAATGATAAATCATCGGAAATTTTGGCCGAATCGGAAAAATCATCATTGCAAGATGAAACACTTTGTCATGGTGAAAGTGAATTAATGGAAACATTAAGAAGAATTGAAGAAAGTGAATCACGACGATTATGGCATAGTATTGTACAATTTTGTTTAAATAATCATATGCAATTTGTTGATGATTCATTTCCACCATCGGATCAATCACTTTATCATCATATACAACCGATATCATTGACAACAAATGCAGCTATAAATACATTACGATTGAATACTGGTCCAGTACAATGGTTAAGACCACATCAAATTCAAAGTGATATAAGTAGTTCACAAGTTCGTTGGGCAGTATTTCGTACACCATTACCATCGGATATTCTTCAAGGTGTTCTTGGTAATTGTTGGTTTTTATCAGCATTAGCTGTATTAGCTGAACGTTCAGAATTAGTTGAACGTGTTATGATTACTAGAGAAATTTGTACACAAGGTGTTTATCAAGTACGATTATGTAAAGATGGTCAATGGAAAACTGTTTTAGTTGATGATCTATTACCTTGTAATCTAAAAGGACAATTAGTTTATTCACAAGCAAAACGTAATCAATTATGGATACCATTAATTGAAAAAGCAATGGCAAAATTACATGGTTGTTATGAAGCACTTGGTTCAGGTAGATCAATTGAAGGTCTATCAGCATTAACTGGTGCACCATGTGAAAGTATTTCATTACAAAATCCAAAATCTGGAATGGGACAACAACAATTATCATATAATGAACAAATTGATTATGATTTTATTTGGGCACAATTACTTAGTTCAAGAGCTGCTGGTTTTTTAATGGGTGCATCATGTGGTGGTGGTAATATGCAAGTAAATGAATCAGATTATCATACAGTTGGTCTTAGACCAAGACATGCATATTCAGTATTGGATGTTCGTAATATTGATAGTTTACGTTTAGTACGTTTACGTAATCCATGGGGACATTTTGCATGGAATGGTGATTGGTCTGATCATTCATCATTATGGACAAGAAAACTACGTGAACAATTATTACCACATGGTGAATCGGAAGGTGTTTTTTGGATTGCTTATGTTGATCTACTTAAATATTTTGATAGTATTGATATATGTAAAATACGTAATGATTGGAATGAAATACGATTACAAGGTGTATTACCACCAAATGCATTCGATATTGATAATATTCCTGTTGTTTTATTAACTGTTTCTGAACCAACTGAAATTGAATTGAATTTATTTCAAGAAGGACATCGTCAATCACATCTTCAACAACAACAGCAGCAGCAACAACAACAACATCAACAACAAGATTGGAAACGTGAATCATCATCTATACGTCGTAATGCACCATTAGATTTATGTGTTGTTTTATTTAAACATAATACTGATAATAATGATAATAATGATGAACAAAAACAACAATCCAATAATGATGATATTAATTTATCAACAATATCGATGGGTTCATTAGTTGCACATAGTAAAAGACAAATTCGTTGTTTTGTTGGTTGTCATGCTATACTAGAAAAAGGTATCTATACTGTTATGTGTTTGGCATTTAATCATTGGAATACAAGTAAGTTTATAATTGTTTGTTTTAATTTTTAATAATTATATTTTTCTATTTCAAAAAAAAATTATAGAAATTGTATCATTTAGTCATTATCCAAAATTTTTATTAGCAATACATAGTTCAAAACGTCTTTCAGTTGAAACAATTACTGGACCACCATTTGTATTGGCCGATACAATTATTCGTTTAACAATGGAACGTGGACAACGTCATGAGGTTTGTTAATTGATTCTTTCTTTCGTTTCTGTGTTTTTGTTTTGTTTTGTGATCATCTTATAATTAACCCTTTTTTTCAAAAAATATATTATAGGGTCGTGAAGGTATGACTGCATATTATCTAACAAAAGGTTGGGCAGGTTTAGTTGTTGTTGTTGAAAATCGTTTTGGTGATCGTTGCGTACAGGTTATTTGTGATTGTACCGATAGTGTTAATGTTGTTTCAACACGTTCAACATTACGTACAATTGATTCAATACCACCACAACATCGGTAAGTTGATTGATTGAATGAATGGATTAAAATGAATAAATATTCTCATTGAATTTTATAATTAAGGCAAGTGGTTATTGTTCTAACACAATTGGATGGAAGTGGTGGATTTTCAATTGCACATCGTCTTACACATCGTTTATCATATTCAAGCGGATTACATGATTGGGGACCATTCGGTACAAATCATGTACCATCGATTGATCGTTTTATGTATGGATTACATGCACCACGTCCTATATCTTGAAAAAAAAGGAAAAGATTTAATATAAAAATCGAAATCTATCATAATGATGGCAGCTCAAATAATAATTTAAAAAAAAAATCTATTAAATTTCCAAATTTAATAATTGTAAAATGAAATAAAAAAATTTCAAAAAACTATTTTTACACATTTACAATCAACTTTTTGGGTGTAAATATCCAACAAATTCAAAAACTATATCTACTCAATAGTGATGACAATGATGACATAAGCTAATTTTTTTTCTGTTGTTGTTGTTATTGTATGCGTATTTGCAACATTTGCTTACCTTGTTCAAATGTAAATGTAAAAAAGATTTAAAAAAAAAATTATAATGATGCAATTGAAAGTCAATTCAATCCAATGAATGATTGAAATTTAATTTTTTTTTCTCTCTCTCTCCGTGTATATAAACCTTTCACACATTTACCTTTTCATCATTTCAATTCAGCTGCCTAATTTTATTTTTTTTGAAGATTTTATTTTTTAAAAGATTTTCTTTATAACAAATATTTTAATCATGGAATTTCCAGATCTTGGTAAACATTGTGCACTTAAAGATTGTAATCGTCTTGGTGAGTTGATTTTTTTTTCTTTAAATCAATCCATTTTTTTCTCATTATAGTCAATTTTTTTTCAAAAAAAATCTCTAGATTTTCTACCAATAAAATGTTCAGCATGTTCAAAAATTTATTGTTCCGAACATTATATGTATCAAACACATAATTGTGAATCAAATCCATTTGAACAAGATCATCAGGTACCAATTTGTCCAATATGTGATCGTCCAGTATCATTAAAATTTGGTGAATCATTAGATGAAAAAGTTAGTGAACATATTGATCGTAATTGTGATGGTGGTCAAACAAATAAGAAAAAAACTGTATATAAAAATCGTTGTTCAGTTGATGGCTGTAGACAAAAAGAATTGATTAAACTTGAATGTAATCAATGTGGTTTAAATCATTGTTTACGGCATCGTCATCCAACCGATCATAATTGTAATGGACGTAATAATAATAACAAAACAAGATCAATTCATCCATTAGTGGCTAAATATGATAATCAAAATAATTCAACAACAACAATCAAATCACCAATCAATATTCCACAATCATTGAATTCATTTACACAGAAAAGTCTTTCGACTATTGATCAGATTCGGACAAATGTTGTACGAACATTTCAACGAAATCCAATCACTACGAATAATTCCAATACTGTTCCAGCATCTGTAACAATCAATTCGAATATTAATCATTTACAGGGTGATCTTACGGAAGAAGAAGCATTAAATATTGCAATTGCTGAATCACTTTCAACTAATACAACTACAACTCAACAACAACAACAACAGCAATCAACAAACAATCGTAGTCAGGAAAATTGTAAAATTTTTTAAAATATTTTGGATTGTTTTTATCGAAATGAAATAAAAAAAAATATTAAATTGAAAAATTTTGGTTTTTGCAAAAATTTTCATGTTTATAGGTTGATGATGATGATGTACTTGCTCTATATGAATGATGCATTTCGAATATATTCGATTGTTTGTATGATACATGTGATCTCGTGTGTGGAAAAAAAATTTTGATAATTTTTTCTTGTTTTTGATTTCGATTTTCTCATTTTGTTTCAATTCAAGATGCAACGAATCAATCAGATTTGTATCAAAACACGAATTCACTCGATGATTTCGAGTATAATATCGAAGAATTCTAATAAACAACAACAATGTTTGGATTATGAATCACAATCATCGTTAAATTATGAAAGCCGTCGTTTTGGTCGACGATATCGTCGTTGGTATCATTGGCCAAATGATTTTCTACCATTTCATTGGGAACGTGAAAAATTAGAACCACCATATTTACGTACTGGTGATGCTGTTCGTGATATTGGTCTTTGGAATAAACAGGATTTGATTCCCGGTGCTCAATATTCAACTGCGTTGAATGAGTAAGTTTTTTGGCTTAAATTCAATGAATTTAAAATCTTAAGATCAATTTCCTCTTCTTTTTGCTAATTTACCAGTGCACCAGAAATTGTACGACGACAATTTTCACTTGGTTTTGCTGAACGTGTAAGTGTTAATTGGTTTTTTTCTTATAGAATTCCATTTACAATTTTTTTCCCTATAAAATAGTCAACAGTTGTTAAACATCAACGTGATAAAATTCTTAATCAAGTTCGTCGTTATGAATTTGATATGATGTCACCCGAAGTAAAAAGTAATGTTTTCAATCATGATTATGCTTATTTTTTTTATTGTTTTAACTTTTATCATTGAATATTCAGTTGCTGAATATACTGTTAAAATTCGTAATAATTTACATCATTTTACAAAAATTGATAAATATGATGCTCGTCGTAAAATACAGCAAGAAACATTGAAAAATCGTCGTGCACATCTACTTAATGAACTTTATTATCAAGATCGTCAACGTTATGATCGTTTAATTAGTTTATTAGGTATTACACATAGTCCACCAAAATTAGGTGAAATTACCTATAAACCAACACGAAAAGGTGAAATTCGTCGTCTAACAAGTGAATATTGTCAACGTATTAAAGAAGAAAAATTAGAACAATATCATAATGAATTGAAACAAAAACAATCAACATTAGATGATGAACGACGTCGTATTGATGAAATAATAAAAGAAGATGAAAAATATTTAGGAATTGTTAATGAAGGACCGAATAATAAAACATTGTAAACAATGTTTTGATTTTGTTTTTTTGTTTCTGATTCTGATTTTGTTGTCAATTTAAACCAATCCATTTTTTTTGATTTTGTATTTATAATGATGACATTTTACAAATAAAAATAAAAATTTCCAATTTGTAATCTTTGTGTAATTTCATTTTTTTTATTACCATTTTCGATTATAATTCCATTGAAAAATTTTTATCTATTTTTCTGATTAACTTTATTATTATCATTATATTAGAGGATTACATTAAATACAAACAACAAGTCTTGCTGTGTCATAAATTTTGTTGTTGTTGTTGTTTGATTCAATGTCGAGTCATCATCATTTGAGTTTAATAATAACCGTGATAATGATTAAGCATCAATCAATGAATCGATGAAAAAAAATGATGATGACTAACAACAATATCATTAACAACAACAATAAAAATGTTCGTCGTTTTAGTTTTCAAGATGAAATTCGTATTCATATTGATTCATGTCGTCTTCGTCTTCGACAGCCAACAAAAATTATTATTATGGATAATAATAATCAGCAACAAAAACAACAACAAACAAATATTGTTGGATCGAAAAAAAAGACCTATAAGGATAATAATAAGGATCGTAATGGATTTACAAACGATCCGAATGGCAAATTACCATTAACATCAGCCTATAATCGTCGTAAAAGTTATGATCAAATGAATCAATCATTTTATCTTCATCCACGTCGTCGTTGTAGTCAAATTCTATCAACAACAACAACAACATCGATAAATGAATCAAAATGTTCAACACCAACTATTGTCGAATCGAATCGTAAACAAAGTATTTCAAATTCAACTTCGAAAATTTTATCGACAAATTCTTTACAATCAAAAATACAATCAAACGGTAACAAAAAATCTACAGAAAAACTAAAACAAACAGCCATTCCTACAAATCATCAATCATCATCATCATGTCGAATAAATTCAAGAAGAATTTCATTACCACTTCCATCTTCATCATCAACATCGACATCATCGTTATCATCAATGAAGAAAAATTCAAATCAAACATTGAATCGTTTATCAACATCCAAGATAATTCCGGATTCAAAACAATCAAACAAATCAACAATAGAATCAATCAATAGATGGCACCAAAAACGACAAATGAGTAGACGAAATTCAAATCAAACATCTACTTTGAATAATGCTACTACCACAACAACACCATTGATGACCAAAACAAAAAGGATTGGTCATCATCATCATCATGATCGTTCGATTGTTGTTGATGATGGTGGTGAATCTGAATTTTTGATAGGTCAAGTAACCAATAACGACAACAACAACAACAACAAAGAAGAAGAAGAAAAAGAAGAAAAACTGACACGATTAACAACAACAACAAACCAGTCAACAAAAGAAGAAAAGAAGGTAGAAAAAGCTGGACAACAACAACAACAACAACAAAATCCAGTTTTGAATGATTATCAAATTGATTCTACAATTTTACCATCATCCGTATTATCGTCAACAAAAGAACTGATGTTTAACAATGAAAAAATAATATCCAATAATCGAATCGATAATAATGATAATGATCGACACATTTCTAATATAACAAAATCAACAATAAACAATATTGATTTCAAACATCAATCATTGTCATCTTCATTATCAATTGAAACAGAAAAAATATCTGGTAATAATTTTGTTGAAGAAACAACAAGTGTTTTATTGAATGATAATAATAAATATTGCGACAAATGTCGTTTATGTATTGATCATCAAAAACATATTGATTCATATTGTTGCTGTTGCGTTAAATCGAATCAAAATATTTCAAATTTAAAACAAAATAATTTTTCCCTACAAAATTCTTCAAACAAAAAACGTTCTATACAAAAAATTATTATTCCTGATGATGATGATGATGATGATGATGATGATGATCAACAATCAAAACGACCAAAACAATTATTATTATTGAAACGATCATTATCGGAAGGTGCAATTCAACGTGAACAACTGAATAATTTTTTAATGAAAAACGATATCAAAAAACAAACAATTTTAACAACAACAAAAAAGGTATGTCGTTTTCAAAAATTTAAATTTGACAAAAATCGAACGTTTTCGAGCAAAATGTAGGCGTATATATAGGGGCCGGTTTGTGAATCAATGTTGTTAATGTCAAAAACATTGAAAATTCCATGCTTGTTGTTTATTATGTAAAAAATGTTGATTGAAATGTCCAAATTTGGTTTTTCCACAGAAAAAATCAATATTGGGATTAATGTAAATATTTTGGATTAAATAAACAACAAGGTTAAGATTATTGATCCTATAAATCCTTTTTGAATGTTTGCGATACATTGAAAATGACTATTAGCATCGAATATTGATTTGATTGATTGATCGATTGATCGTTCGATATGGATGGCAAAATGAGATTTTAAAAATTTCAAACTTTAAAGAAAATCTAATTTTTTTAAAATGACAATTTTCAGCACAAAAACATAATCAAATATGTGTTTTGAATGGAAGAAAAAAAAGTGTCATTTTTTCTTTTTTCTAAATGTTAAAAAGAGCTGTTTAAATTTGAAAAAATGCGTTGATTATTAATGATGATGATGATGATGGAAACAGGAAAAAATCATTCATGCGTTACACAAATATGGATCGAAAAAAAGATATTTTCTGTTTTTGTTTATTTGTTTGTGTTTATTTGCAGTATTTAGCTCAAAATATTTAGCTAACTAGTTTTATTAATCGTCATATTTTTTCTTGTTTTGTTTTCTTGTTTTAATTGTTCATCATCATCATCATTGTTGTGTAAATTTTTTCCTGGTTTTGAAACAATGTTTTTTTCGGTTTTTGTTTGGGTTTCTGCTGTAACTAAAATGTTTTTTTACCCATTTTTCTGTGTTTTGAAAAAGAAATTCTGAAAAATAATGGGTAATAAATCATCATCATCAAATACTGATCCACATTATAGTGGTGGTGTATCAAGAAAAAAAATGTTGCAACAACAAAAGCAACGATCTTCATCATCGTCGATAAAGATTTCACAATTAACAACAAAGGTAATGAAAAAATCAACAACAACAACAAAATCAGAAAATAATGATGAAATTACTGATGAAAATAAACGAAATTCATTATTATTGGATTTGAATTTTGGAACAAATCAAATGAATAATTCATCAAGTCGATCAGAATCCATTTATCATGATGCAAGATCACAATTGACATCACCGGAATTTGAAACAAATTTAAAAAAAGAATCCGAATCGATTGATGAAATTAATTTATTGGATGAAATTCAATTAAAACTTTATGAAATTAGTGAACAAAATGATGATGATGATGATGAATTGGCGGTAAGCTGAAAATTTATAGGATCTGGAAATGTTTTTTTTTGTGAATTCTTCCTTTTTGGTTTCGTTTTTTGATATTGTTTTTTTGGAATGTTTTTTTTGAAATGTTTTTCATTTTGTTATGTTTTTTTCGTTGATTGACCTATATTGTTTTGGTTATATTTTTGTGTTTTGTTTTTAAAATGTTTTTCAATTAATTAATTAATTTTCTTTTTGGTTTTTCGTTGCTTATTATAGGTTACAAATGATGATGATCGATTTGAAGAAAAAAATGTTGAAAATTTTAATTGTGATGATGATGAATCTAATGATGTTATAATTGATAAACAAAATTTTGAAGAAAAAAATATGCAACGAACAGCTACTAAACGCCAATCATTAACCAATGAATCAAATGTTGGTTTAGGTGGTAATAGCCTAATTTTATCGAAATCTTCAGGAACCACCGGTTTATCAAATTCATCGGCAACAATTAATTCAAATAATTCTCATTCACCATTGATTGCACAACCATATAGAAAAGTTGTTGTACCTGAAGTAAAAACACCTGTTATATCATGGGAAAATTTAGATAGAATTAATGGTATTTGTTCACAAAAATTGTCACAAAATAATCATTCAAATCAACAATCATGTTCAACACATGATCTAGCTATTGATCGTTCAATATCTTGTCCAGATGGAAATGTTTTACGTAAAGTTGCATCGATTACAGCCGAATCATTAGGAATAAAAACTGGAAATTTTCTAAACGAATCAGATTCTATAAATAATAATAATATTAATAATCTATTTACGGGTCAACGACAAGAATTTAAATCATTATTAGCGGATACAAAATTTGATCTAAAAAATGTTGAAAAATTTGAAGGTTCAATATTATATAAATGGTATTCAAGTTCATTATGGCCTTATTTTCAAACACTAGTCGATGATATGAATAATGAAAATGATAATTTAATTTTTCAACAATTTCGTCAATTACAACGTAATATTTCATTAGAAATTTGTACATTTCTTCTTGTTAACAATGTAATTGAATATTGTTCATCATCATCATCCAATGATTCTGATGATCTGGTACAGCAACAACAATCTCAAGATATTGATAATAATTTAAATTCCAATGATGATTGCATTTTTAAAGTAAGAAAGTTGTTTACAAAAATTCTTATTCTTGTAACAAACTGTAATTCATTTTTTTGTTTTTTTCCCGCATTTAGATGGATCGTTTTTATAAATGGCGTAAAAAATCTAACGCATGGAATGTCAGTCGATCATCAATTGATCAGAATCATTCTATAATCAAAAAACCAACCACTAATGTTGTTGATTCATCTGTTCAATGTGCAATATTACAGGCTTCATCAACTAAAGATGTAATGACAATGACTGAAAATAATGATGATAATAATGAAAAAAATCCAAAAGAAATCGAAGAAACTATTTCGACACTGCCGATACCACCGCCGCCTCCGCCACCACCTCCTCCACCTCCCGGGTTATTAGGGCCTGTTATTAATGAAAATAAATCCACATCATCAGTTCCATCGATACCACCACCGCCTCCGCCGCCGCCACCACCTGGATTATTTGGATCAACAAATGCGGTGCCACCACCACCACCTCCTCCTCCACCGTCTGGATCGATTTGTGGACCCCCTCCTCCACCACCACCACCGCCTCCTGGCGCCAAGCAACATCAAGGACCGCAAGCATTTCCAGCACCACCAAATGGTGGCTGGAATGCCCTATATCAAACTTGTCGCAAGCCAGTCGTACATCCAACATTGCCGATGAAGCCACTGTTTTGGCAACGAATACAAATGCCTGCAAAACAGCAGCAGCAACCACAAATTGCCGAAAATAATTCAGAAGCGGTTTCTGAAGAGCAAACTGCATCATCGCCAACAACGACAACCGCAACTGCAAAATGTTTTTGGGAAAAAATTGAAGAAAAAGAAGATCTAATTTGTCCAGAATTTTTGGAAACATTTTCTCGAAAAAATAATCTAAATACACTGAAGAAAAATTCTCATAAAAACAGTAAAGATGATTCGAAAACCGATACGATGGCAACAAAAGCAACACGCGAAGATTTAAAATCATCGTCAACAACGACTCCAAAAAAATCGATGGAAACTGTACAGCTATTGGAACAAAAACGTGCGCATAATGTAGGCATTTTAATGACATCATTAAAACTAAGTATTTCGACAATTGAATCGGCATTATTGAATTTTGATATATCAGCTATTGGTTCGGATAAATTACAACAAATTCATGAAGTTGCAGCAACACAAGAAGAAATTCGTCTAATTGAACGATATTTAGCACAAAATCCTGGTGCAACATTACGTAAAGCAGAAAAATTTCTATACGATTTATCTTGTATACCACAATTTAATGAACGTGTTACATGTATGATGTATGAAAATCGTTTTACCGATCTATTGGATGGTATTGAAAATACTTTGTTAACATTTAAATCTACTTGTCATCAATTAACATCAAAAATTGAAATACAAAATATTTTTGCCATCATTCTTACATTAGGTAAGTCATCATTTGAATTTTTATAGGGTCTGATGACATAATATGATGGTTGTTTTTTAAACTTTTTTAAAATTGTTTTCATTACATCCATCCATTCATCAATCAATCAGGTAACTATATGAATGGTGGTAATCGTGATCGTGGACAAGCTGATGGTTTTGGTTTAGAAATTCTAAGCAAATTAAAAGATGTTAAAGGAAAAGATTCTGGTGTAAATTTATTAGAATTTGTTGTAAAAATGTATATAAAAAAATATCATCCAAATTTGGATTCAATCGATAAAATTGGTTTTCCATTAGTTGAACCGGCTGATATTGAAAAATGTTCATTGGTTGTATTTTCACAAATTGAAGAAGAATTATGTGAATTAGCTAAAATGATTAAAAAAACTGAAAATCTAGTCGCATCGGTTATGGATCGTGATGATTTGATTACAACAACTTCAACAACAATAACAACAACAACAACGAATAATAATGTTGACGTTGAAAATAATGATAATAATGATAATGTTAAAATTTTACAAAATGATGATGTAAATATGGAACATATAAAAATATTTAAAGATAAAATTGATCGAGCTAAACAACGTATGACTGAACAGGAAGAAAATCTTAAAGAATGTCGTAAAATGTAAGTTTATTTTTTTTTTGGTTTTGTTTTCAAAAATTTTCAAGAATTTCCAATTAAATTCTTTACTTTTTCCATTTAGATTTCGTGATACAATAAAATTTTTTATGTATAAAACCAAATCAAAAGATGAAAATGAATGGGCAAAAGAATTTTTTGCTCATTGGGTACAATTTACAAATGATTTTAAATTAATATTTAATCGTGAATTACATCGTTCATTGAAACAAAAGTAAGTTAATGGATTGTTTTACTTAATGTTTGAATTGATTTCATAATTTTTTTAAAAATTTCAATTTTTTTTCATTTTCGTATCATTTACAATTCAAAGTATATTGAGTGCCCGTTCGATTGTTCGTAATATGATGAATAAAAATGAAATTAAACCACGTAAACGTCGTCCAGGTGGCCTTAAAGATTATATTCAATCGATACGAAATAAAAATCAATCCTGATCAGCAAATTGGAATCGGTGGAATTGATGGTTCCTATATATTTTTTCATTATTCATCTTTGGCCTTAATAGAGATGCAGATTGTGCAATTTGAAAAACAATTACATATCCACAAATTTTTCAATTTGAAACTTTTTGTAATAATGATCACACACACTATACACTCCACTATTTGATAATTAATGATGACCAACTAAATTCTTTGTTAATTTGTTTGTTTTTTTGTTGTTTGGTTACAAATTTCACTATTTTAAATGAATAGAATTGAAATGAAGATTTATATTGAATGTTTTTTTGAAAAAATAAAATTTAAATTTCTTAAAAAAACTTGAAAATATGAAATTTTGAAATAAAAAAAAACCAAAATTTTAAAAATTCAACGTATAAACTTGTCAACAAAATGACCAGAGTGAAAGGTGGAGGAGTCGAAAAATTTGTGTTTATGCACGCGCTTAGCATTTTGTTTTTTGAAGGCGGAGCATCATGATTTTTTTTTTAAAGCGCGCTGCTTTTTCATGGACAAACAAAAATTGAAAATCAAAATTTTAACCCATTACTATCTTCTATCGGATAATCATTTTTTTTCATTTTGTTTTTGAACTTTGAATTGATGTCAACATGATGTTAAATGTGTTAAATTTGATATTTTCTCACCGTATATATAAATATCGCATTTTTTTCATTTGGGAAACATTCTGTCGATTTTAATGTTGTTGTTTTGTGGTTTTTAAATTCATTTCAGTTTTAAATTTTCAAAAATTTTTTTACTTAATTTAATAATTCGTTTCTGTTTGCTAAACTTAACACTGTTGAACATACACAAGAAAAAAATTGCTTTTACAAATTGTACTTTGCATCAAATTTCAAATTTTTTTTTTAACGGGTGAGTTTTTACGTTTACAATTTTGAATTTCTCTAAAATTTGTATTTTTCTAGTTTCATTTCTAGGTTTTTGCTTTTTGTAAAAAAAAATGTTACAAGATCCAACTATATCATCAAGTTCAATAAAGAATAATATTGATGGATTTTATTCAACAACAACAACAATTTCATCATCGGATAATTCAATTCTTGAAAATAATAATAATAATGGTAAACAAGAATCATTTAATTGTTTGACAACTGAAAATTTGAATACTGTTATCAATACTACTGCTGCTAAACATGAATTATTTACTTTTGGTAATAATAATAATGTTGTTGTTGATAGTTTGGAAATTTTTGATCCAATTGGACAATTTGATGATCAATTTAAACCATTTGCCGATAATAATGATAATAAACAAAATCAAATTGTTGAAAAAAATGTTGAAACAAAATCGATGGAAAAGGATTCGGCTGAAACTTTTATGCAAAAATTATTTGCTTTACAACAACAACAACAATCATTAAACATTGCTAATCATATGGATCCTATATTATCATCATCATCAATATCAACATCATCATCTTCATTAGGTGAAAATAATCAAAATGATGAAATGGATTCATGTTCCAAGCAAAGTAACAACGATGATGAATTTAAATCAATGATAAATACCGATGATATTGGTGGTGGTGGTGGTGATGGTGAAATTGAGGAAATAGAAATTGAATTTGATAACGAAATGATGACAATGGCTGTTCAATCATCATCTTCTTCTTCGTCTGGATCTTCAATTATAACAGCAACAACTACTACAATGGATAATAATAATCAACGTTTACCAATAAATAATCGTAATTATCAAGAAGCACGTTATAAAACAGAATTATGTTTACATTATCGTGAAAGAAATTTTTGTCCACATGGACAACGTTGTTTATTTGCACATGGTTTAGAAGAATTACGACCATATCGTGGCCGTCATCCTAAACATAAAACACAACGTTGTAAAGCATTTCATGACAATGGTTTTTGTAATTATGGTTATCGTTGTTCATATATACATTCTGAATCACCACGTACAATTGATTATATAAAAAAATTAAATCATCGTGCACAATTGTTTAAACGTAATCGTATGAATCAACAAATTCGTAATCTACGTAAACAATCAACAACAACATCATCATCATCATCATCATCATTAACATCATCGATTGATCAACAAATTCTTTATGAACAACAAATGCAACAACAACAAACTAGTCATCATCATCATCATCGACATAATTATCATCAACATCAACAACAGCAACATCAACAACAACGCTATAATCATTTACAATTGGCCAATATTGATATACAATCATTACTTTCAAATGATGATCATTGGTCACAATCACATTCATCATTATCAATGGCATCATTATTTTCACATTGACTTAATCTAATTAGAAAAATCATCTATTTATCAGTATTGTTCATTTTTTATTCATATTCCAAAAAAAAAAGAAAAGGTAGAAATTCATATTGGACATATCAAATTTTTATTATTATTACCAGAATATTTCATAATTATTCTTCAATCCGGTGATGATGTAAGTGAAGAATATTCTTAATTAACCAACAAAATTGTGATTCATTTCAAATGCAAAAAATGATGATGAATAAGTAGAAAGTAGAAAAAACGATTTGAATCTATAACATTTATTTTTTTTCCATCAACCAAATAACCCGAAAAATTCTTTATATGTAGAATATGATGCCAAAGAAAAAAAAATTGTTATAAATTTTTCAATTTATCAATTCTATTCAATTTTATCTAAAATGTTTTTGTTGGTGTTAAAAAATTTTAAAATAAATCCAAATGATGATATGTATTTTATGTGTGGGCGCTTGTTATCATTTTTTGTTTGTTTTCAAACTCAAAATTGTCCCTGTGTTTGTGTTCGAGTTAAATGATGAGAATTTCTGTTTGATTTTTCGTAAGTTGGTTACTCTGAATTTGCCGAAAAAAATGGCATCAAAGAAAAAAATATTACCAACAAGTTTTTCCGATGATTATATTGATATTATAACGAATGAATCGAATCAACATTTTCGACAACAACAACAACAATTATATCATAATCAACAACAACAACGAAGATCACAACCACAAATATTACCCATCGAATCATATTCACCACCACCATTATTATCAACAGCAAAACATCCAACATTTAATCGTCGAAATATTCATATTCGTCAACAGATTGCTAGACATTCACATTTCCCATCATATTATACATTGAATTCTTTGTATTCGAAACCAAATTTTTTACGAGGTTTGTTTTCCTATAATGCTTATTCATTCCGTTATTTCATTCGTTTCCTTTCTTTTGATGTGTGTGTGTAGAATTTGCTGATGTTCATGAAACTGAACAAGGTTTAATAAATTTATTAACCGATTTTCATGAAGGTAAAATTAATGCATTTGGTGAAAATATTACACTGGAAAATATGATTAAAGTACGTGAACAACAAGAAAATTTGGCACGTTTACATTTCGAAATGAATAATCAACAATCAAAGTAAGTTTTCAATTTGAATTTGATTTAATTCCTGAGTTTATTCTGTAATTCTTTTAAATTTTCCTTAGCAAACAATCCACAATTGATTGTTCATCACCTGCAATATTGATTGGTAATCAAACATCATCATCATCATCATCATCAACACCAATATTACCATCATTAACATCATCAATTGATCAACATTATCGAGGATATCGATTGGAAAGTCAATCATCATTAGCAAATGAATCGAATCCAATATCGTCAGCTTCGAATGTTCATACGATGATGATGACCACAACGACGACGACAACAACTACGACGCCTACAATAAAAACAAATTCAAATTCATCACCAAGAATTATTGTTTCGATGGAAGAATCATTACAATCATCATCTTCATCACCCGTTTCAACATCACCACAACCAAATGGTTCGGATCAAACAATTATATTTGGTAAACCATTTTCCAAAAGTAATATGATTAAATTAATACAAAATGTAAGTCTGTTCAAATTGGATATAGATTCAAATTAATCTAATTATCTTTGTTTTTTTAGCTACAAAATCTTTGTGAATCAATGTAAGTCAAAGTTGATTTATTTTTAGTTTTGATGGCTAATTTCTCTTCTTAATTTCATAGTGAACTTTTGCAATCCAAAAATCATAATTCAATCGATTGAATTCTACATTTCACATTCACATTAGTGCAATATAACTTTGAAACCCGAAAAAAGTTAAATAAATCTTTGTTTCTTTGTTCCCCTGTTCATATCATTGTATCCAATTAGTGATTAATTAATTAATTTTTTGTTTTGTATTTGTAATTAAGATTTTGATTATATAAAACCCTAAATAATTAAAATTTCATAAAAAACTTGTGTTCAAACATATATAGTGTTTATACGTTGCAGGTTTTGTTTTTTTCATTTTGTTTTTGGCTTGGCCCGTCGATAATTTTTACACGTTGAGTTTGATTTGTTTTTGTTCATTTTTCGGTCAAACAGAATTTGATTATCAATATTCAAATCTAAAGGTAATCCAATTAAATCCATTCCCATTCATTTAACTAAATGATGAAAACTTTGAATCCTCAAGATTTTTGTTTTAATTTCAACCACAAAATTTGTAAAAAAAAAGTAAGAAAAATCTTTACGGTAATCAGCTAATCGAATATTATTTTTTGATTTTTTTTGATCCAGAAAAGTTAACAGAAATTTCTTTATCCAAAAAAAAAACTTTTTTTAAACATTTTTTTTGGATCAAACCTAAAAATGGTAGAAAAAAATGGAAGAATCCGAAGACACGCATCAACGGACATGCGCATATCATATTTGTCCTATAATGAATTTTTTGTTTTGCTCATTTCATTTTTAGCCGTTGCTTGCTTTGGTTTGTTTGTACTTGGTGCTCGTTGGGATTGGTAGACTCGAAAAAAATATGTTTGCTCGCTAACAATCATCACTATAGATTCTTCTGAAAATGCTTGTTTGTTTTTCACCATCTTTGTTGGCTATTTTGGATGTCAAATCTTCCAGAAAAACAACCATGGATTTTCGGAATTTAAACCAAAATGTGGGTAAGTTTTCAATTTATTTAATTCGGTTCGAAACATTTCTATATTAATTCTTTTGTAAAACATTACAATCGGTTTTGTTTTGTTTTTGTGTGTTTGTTTTTTCTGAAACATTTTATTCTTTATTCTTTCTGTGTGTTTTACAAATTCAATTTGTTTTATTAACTTTTGATGAATCAATTTGTTTAAGAAAATACCATGATATTTGACGATATGCCCAATTTGGTATGAATAATTTAGTAAAAAAATGTGATAAATCATGAAACCAATAACCAGATGTTAAACGACTACGACCAATTGTTGCAATAGCATTTGCGGTAAATGTTTCTGCATCTGGATACATTAGCGATCTTCGTTGTAATAGAGTGGAAAATCCGGTCATTTTTGTACCAATATAATTCGGTATTAATGTTTGTATTTCGATATTTGATTGTCTATATTCAATATCTAAACTTTGTGAAAACCATTCAACAAATACCTATATAAAAATCAATTAACCATTAGTTAGCATTTGATTAGTAAATTGGTACTTTGAATTATTTACCTTTGATGCAGAATAAACACCCATTAATGGTAATGGTTGATAACCAGCAATCGATGAAATATTAATAACTAAACCACGTTTACGTTTTACCATTGATGGTAATACTAAACGTGTTATCATTAAAACAGCTAACATATTAACACGTACATGTTCCCATAATTTAGTTTCAGGTTGATCCAAAAAACGATTCGGTGAATCAAACATAACACCAGCATTATTAACTAAAATACCAATTTCACGATTTTCCGGATCAATTTCACGCCAAATACGTTGATACATTTGTCGATCATCTGAATTTAAATCAGCTTGTATACTTATTACCTGTATATTACGTTCACGATTCATTTCCAATAATTGTGTTCGTACACGTGTTAATTTATCCGAATTACGACCAAGAAGGATAATATTTAAACCACGTTGTGCAAATTGTCTTGCATATTCTAAACCAATACCATCAGTTGCACCGGTTATTACTGCCCATTTACCATATTTTTCAACGAAATTTGTACGAAACCAAATACGTGACCAAATATGTAAACGAAATCCATTAAATACTGATGATAATATTGTCCATACAAAACGTGTTGAATAAACAAAACCAATCAATGTAAATGTATCGATTACGAAACGTAATTTTGGATCAATATCACGAACAATTTGAAATATATAACCCATTGTTGAATAATAAATATAAAATTTACTATGTTTTCGTGGTACAGGGAATGGTAATTCTTTATTATTATTATTGTTGATCAATGTTGTTGATGTTGGTTGTAGTTGATGTTTGATGTCCATTCGAATAATGATTGTTACTTGTTGTTGATGATGATTTATTTGACCAGAAAAAATTTTGTTGTTGTTAAAAAAGATGAATATGATTTGCAAGTAGAAAAAAACTGAATAAAATTTCAACAAAAAAGAAAGACAAAATTTCTCTTCGTTTTCTTCTTCAACCTACAACAACAATGATCAACGAAGAAGATTTTTATTGTTAAAAGTAAAAAAGAAAAAAGATTTAAAAATAGCCAAAAGAAACAAGTTTTCACTTTTTTCACTTTTTGGTTTTCTGTTGTTGTTGATGATGAAGAAGATGCTTAAACACAACAACAACAAAAAATAGCGGATGATGAATGAATGAATGAATGAACACCGTCAAGTTGAAAATCTTATTGTGTTTTGAAAGAAAAAGGTGGAAAAAAAGAAACAAATCAAATCAAATCAACAAAAACATTATCATTGTTTGTTGTTGAATATTGGTCAAATTGATGTTTGTCGTCGAAAATTTGATTTGGCTATTAAGTTTGAAGAAAAGAAAAGAAAGAAAAGAATGTTTGAAAAATTGTTAGATTTTTTTTTTTGTTTTTCAAATCAATCCCGTTGTTGAGTTAAGTTTTTTTTCCGAAAAGTTTCCGGAAAGATTTGTTTGTTTGTATTTGGTTTGTATTTGGTGTCAAATGAAAAAAAAGTCGGTCATAACTCTCTCTCTCTCTCTCTTTTGGTCTTTTTCAATTGTTTTCTTTTTACCGAAAAAAGAAAGAAAAGAAACGTCATACCATAACGGTGTGCAATACCTATGCACATCTCTTCAAATCAATCGAAAACAAGAAAAAACTTGTTTTTTTTACCATCAAATCTTATGAAAGTTTCATTTCTCTCACTATTGAAGATTTAATGACTTTTTTCCGGTTTTTCTGATGATGATTGATTGAAATCATTGACAAAAAGTTTTTTTTCTACTGTAATCAAATGAGCAATCATCCATTATATTTCTTCCTTATCTATTTGAAACTTTTTTTAACATTGAATTCAATTAATTTTTTTCCAATCTTTTTCAGATCTTATTTCTTCAACAGCGAAAACGAAAGTTACATCTTAATTCTTTGTCCTGAAAAACAAAATTGGTAATTGTTTAATGAGCTTTTTTAAATTATTTTTTAACTTTTTTAAATTTTTCTTTCAAAATAGATTTTAATGATTTTAAAGAAAAAAAAATGTAAATTATTCAACTGACAGTGGCGAACTCTAGTGTTTGCCAATAACACTATTTGTCAATGAATCGAAAGCATAACATTCGAAAATATGATGAGGATAAGAATTTTTTGTTTTCTCTGGACTGATACGAATGATATGAATGGCCATTATTGAATCTTATCGGATTTGGAATGCATTTGATTCATGAAAATTCAAAATCTAATCAAATTCAATCAACTAATAATGAATTTTCAATATTCATTGGATTTGTTCGAAATTTAAATGATAAAAATAATGATTTCGAAAACAGCTGATTTTTGGAACCAGATTAAATGGCCATAGAATCTATGAATTGATATTGCTCGTTTTGATGGATTTATCAACCAAAAATGATTGATAATTATAATGATCTTCATAATCATCCTTAGTATTTAAAACTGAATCCAACGATATACAACATGATCAGATTAATTTGGATAATTTGGATTTCCAAAATGGATCGAATGTTTGTTTTGGTTCAAAACATTCTTGCTGCTCATTCTTTTTCTTTTATGGCTCATCACTACTATTCTACTAAACCTTTACCATCATCTTATATTATTGTCCAACCATGCCTGTTATTGTTATTCTTTTTGATCCGTACGTGTGGTCGAATGGAATTTTTGTTTCAAAACAAATCATTTTCGATCACCGATATGCCGAATACGCCAAATTTAACGAAACAACATTTGCTAATTAAATCAACAACGAAAAAAAATAAACGTCATCGAACCGGCATGATAGCTGTAACCAATGTTTTACCATCATCATCACAAAAGTCATCGAATCATCAACATCATCATCATAATGTTGTTGCACATAGTTCATCGACATCAAAATCGAATTTAATTAGTCATTCATTTGATCCTGGAATCGATACGAATTCTGTTAGCGAATCATTTGATTTAATGAAAATTCCATATGCCCCGATACAACCAACATTTGATTATTATCTAGTAAATGATCATTTTCCAGCCGCTAATCTAAATTCGAATGATCTTGATGATACAATCAAACAGGTACAATTTTTAATTTATTATTATTTTCTGATTTTAAAATTTTGATTTTTTTTTGTTTTCGAAATCACATAGGCAATCGATGAACGTTTATCGAAAATTATGCCAAGATCAGATGATATACAAAATCTAACACAAACAGTTTCCAAATTAATGCTCATATTGGATCGTTTAAAAGCATCACCAGAAAATATTGATGCATGTAAAATTGATTGTTTTTTTGTTGTCGGATCATTACGAATGGGTACAATGATACGTGATCATCGTATAGCCGATATGGTTATTATATTACAAACTTTACCAGTAAAAGCAGCACTTTCAGCAATTGGAAATAAATTACTAGAAGAATTACAACGTATTGAACCAACAAATCCATATCAGATTAATATACGTGATGATAATCTTGAACTTACAAATCTGTTTAACAAGGATATTATCCGTATATTGATTGCAACAACAACAACTAATCTAAATAAATTGGATCGTGAAATTCATGTACGTAAAAATGCTGTACAAAAACATTTAAAAGCAACTGTTCATGCACGTTGGTTTGAAGAAAATATCAAATGGAATGATGTTCGTGATTTTATTCGTTTATTTAAAGATGTTTGCCAAAGATTTAATGAATTTTCATATTTTTCACCATGGATGATTATTATTCTTTGTCATTATTCAATGACTTGTATTCGTGGAACTAATGCTGGTAGTGGTGGTGGTGGTAGTAATCAAGGTAGTGTTGGTGAAGATCATTTACCAATACATTTAGCATTTAAAAGATTATTACAATTACTATCATCGGGAATATTTTTACCATATTCAGCCGGTATAACTGATCCATGTGAACCAAAAATGCCAATTCATGGAAAATTATCTGTTCATGATCAAGAAACAATAACTCGTCAAGCACAAACATTATTAAGATTATTAAATTATCAAAATGGTTGTCGTTATGTTTTTGGTTTAGAAAGTTTAATAATAATCAATGATAAAGAATTAGATAATGATAGTGATAATTCATCATCGACATCATCATCATCAACAACGACAACAACAACATCATCATCATCAACAGCAAAATTAGCACCATTAATGATGAAACAATTAGAATTGGTTGATAAAGATATTATTGATCAAATCAAATCGAATGATGAAATTGATTTTCGTAAATCTTATTCAGTTTTTGATACAACAAATTCTATTAATCAAACAAATAAACATTGTAAACATTGGAAAAATAATTCATCACCATTACATCAATCATCACCATCTCAATCATCATAGGAATGTTTTTTTTTGTTCATAAGTTATCTTATCTTGTTTTTTGCATGAAAATGTTTTACTTAGAAAACGAACAACAGTTTATCTATAATAATTTATATAAAATTCTCTAAAAAAAATTACTTTACAAACATTGTGATATAATATGCATGAACAAACAAGAAAATTTGTAATTTTATTTTGTATTTGAAAAAAACATTTTTAAAAACTTAACAAATTTGTATTTTATTAAAATTGATCGATTATAAATTCATTTTCTATTTTCTACTGCATCCAAAGATGATGATGATAATGTTGATAATTGTGATTTGATCGAAAAAACCAATTATTCAACCAAGAATAACTTTTTTATATAAATCACGTAATGGATTGAAAATATTTTGATCTTTATATTCAGATTCACTGATATTTGGTACATCAACATTTTCACATTGATCACGTTCAAAATCAGAACAAACAACAGCAGTCATTTCTTGTTTAATATTTTGATGAACATCTTTAAAATAATCAATATTTTTAGCTGAACAAACTGCAGTGCCTTTAGCTTTCATTGCTTCACCGATACATGGAGCCACTTTACGACTTTTGCTATTTTTAATCAATTTAAAAAAAACAAAAAATCGTAAAAAATAAATTTAAAAACATCCAAAACAAAGTACTTACCAGCAAAGAATACGCATAATTTTATTTTTATTATCCAATTTATTTGCAGCAAATACTAACATACGATAATTTTTCAAACATTGTTTTGTATCCTGTACAACCGAATTAGCACAGCCAACATTTTCTAATAATTTTTCTTTTTTAGTTTGTGAACGACATAAACGTTTCATAACACGTTGAATACCATCCAATAATGAATCCAATGAACGTTTCTCATAACTACTTTCAGTACAAGTATCGATAAACGTTCTAGCACATGTTTCGGATTTTTTCAATTCTTCACATGCACGATTTAAATCTTGAATCGTATCAGGAAATTGATTAATTTTTTGTCCACTTGAATAACGTAATAGGCCATCTTTTAAACATTCACGAATTGGTCGTTCAATATCACAATCGGGTGATTTTTTTAATGCTAATGTTGTACCAATCAATAGCAAAACAATGACAGAAATTGTTTGTTTCATTTTTTTTTTGGTTGAATGTTTGGTTGATTTGATGATTTTGAAAATATTGAAAAATAATGAATTTAAAATCTTCAAAATGAAATGCTTTTTATATTCTTTTGAAAAAAATGATTGCATCTTTTTTTTTTGTTTGTACTTTTTACATACACATAGTAACAGACATGAATGAATTAAGCGAAAAAGAGAGAAATGTATTTTGTTTGTAATTTTTTTTTTTTTTTTTGAAACTGATTATTTCCCTTTATTAATTTCTTGGGGGGAAAAAAAATCTTAACGGACAAACAATAAGAATTGGGTTACAAAGGTACCTTTGA